CCGTTCGGTTGTTCTCGCGATCGCCGATCGATTCTCCGGAACCGCGACGCAGAGGGAGACGCGGTGCGACGAGTCCAGCGCGTAAAAATAGCGAGGATAGGGAGAGGAAAAGGAAAGAAGCCGGTTGCTAAGAGAAGAAAACTCGGGCCGAATCGAAGCAGCGTGACCCAGAAATAGATGACGCGAAAGATCGCGCGCGCGAACGACCTTCGCGAATCTCCGTCGCGCGCTCTCCTAGCCCCACTCGGCCGAGATAACGCGCGACCGTTCGATCGCGATCGAACGACGCTTTATCCGTTCTCGAGTGAAATACGCGACGAACCGGCGAGATAGGAGTAACCGCGGACCATTTTCACCTCTGTAATTCTTCCGCGTATTGCGCAACACCCGATAAATCCCGTTGTTCGTCCTTTTCAGCCCTCGACGAATCGCGATTTTTCCGCTTCGACCAAGGAGAACGCTGTTTCGAAACGAAATCGAGTTATCTGAACGAGCAGCCTATGCAAGCAACGATAAAGTCTCGCGTATCGCGAACCAACTTTCGCAACGTTCGAATTTCAAACTCTTCCAGCAAAAATGCGACGTCGATGCGCGACGCTTTCCGCGAATACAAAGCCGCCGCATAGCTTGACGTTCTTGGAGAGGAGAGATACGAATACCGATACCGACACGGCTGGCCTCGCGCTCAAACTAGGACGAACCGTCCCGTGGATCTTGTTAAATCGTTTATTAACAATTGGTTGGAAGGAAGGTGAAAGAATCGGTAAGAGAGGTGTTTTTATATTTACACCGGATTACGTGGCTTGCCGAGCGCAATCTGTGTGGTTGGTCGGGACAGGAGGGCAGAGGAGTTGCCGCAAACAGCTGTTCAGGTCACGAGGGAGGGATGAATCACCGAAAAGTTTCCACGAGCGAACCTTTCCGTTTCACGAATTTCGTGCTCGCGACTACGTTAGAGAGACCGGACGTTGCTCGTTTCTACGAGCAAAGCCGGTCGCGTTTTAAGCTCGCGTTCACCGACACGCGCTACTGCGCCAGAGCAGGCACGCGAGTCGTTTCATAATCACTTTCGATTAATGGGTGCGCTCTAATTATCGGGCCTGCCTGCCTGCGTTCGGGAACGAGAGGCGCGGCGGCGGCGGCGACTCTACACACCGGAGAGCGTTCGTTCACCGCACGTACGCCTAGGGAGGAGCGTGCGGCGCGAGAGAAGAATTTGCGTACATCAGCCGCAAATAGACGTAAGAAAATGCGCGATACCCAACGTCAGCTGGCGAGCCACGGCAAGGCAGCGCAACCTACCGCTGACGTAATCGCGCCGCGTGTATATAGAACGAGGTTCGGTCGATAAACGATAAACAGACGTAGGTAGCGACGCAGATGCAGAGAAAGAAGTGGAACCGAACCAGGAAACGATCACGCGATCCGTCCCCCAAGGTCGACAGAGTCGTCGAACCTGGTTACACCTACGACAAGTCGATTGGTTCCCGCGTCGTTTCCGGCTCTCGAGCCGCGCGCCGCCACTCTCCTCGACGCATACTTTCTAACGCGCTTCATCTGCTCGGACGAAGAGCTCGCGTGTTGGCAGAGTTCTTATCGTGCCCCCCAGCTGGATACCGATTTCGCGCGACCAACTGGGAACGTGCCTCGAGGAACGTACATGCCCCAACTACACGCGCTGCGCTTACCTTTCTTCGACTTTGCTCCGATCTTGAGCCGGGACGGCCACGTAACGAAGGTGTTTGTTTCCTCCATAACCTGGAACAGAAGGAACGGATTAGCATCGAACTGGTTAGGTTAGGTTAGCGCGCTCGAACCGTATTCGACATTACCACGGTCATCGTTGTCGACTGGGGGTGCGATATCCCGATCGGTACGGTCGACTCGTCGAACAACCGCAACAACAACAGCCTCGGAAAGAGAGAGGCAAGGCGAGGCGAGGCGTAACGAAGAGAAGAGAAGGGAGGAAAGAGTCTCGTTTCACGGTCACCGTTCGTTCGATCGGTCGAAAGCTCGGGGAAGAGACACGGTACGATCACTCGGCGGAGGACGTGGCGAACGGAATCTACTTTCACTGGCGCGACTATCGAGAGCCGCGGAACACGTCTCACCGCGTTCGTTGCCCGTTCACTTCATCGCGACTAGCCGACACGCGCGATCGACGACCGGCGACCGGCGACCGGCGACCGGCGACCGATCTCTCTCTCGGGCTTTTTCTCCGTGAAATCTATCCACCGCAGAGTGGTCGAACGTTTCCTTTCACTCTTCGAGACACGGTCGCGGGCTCGACAGCCGAGAGCGCACACTGTTTCGCACACCAGTCGGTCACCGCGTACACTCGATTCACTGTCACGGTGCTCGCGAACCAACTGCGACAAGGAGGAAGAACGCAACTCGGAGCAGCTTTCACCGTGACCGGTTCGAACGTTTCCAACTGCCACGTCGTCTCTGGCGTTTCCACCGCGTCCGGATCGCTGGCACGACTGACTGACTAACAGCAGATAATGTAACGGGACGGCTCGGTGAACCGCCTCCCACTCGCCGCCGCGCCGTCACCATTCTAGCCGTCTCCGTTCCTCCGTGGCCTGGCCTGGCCTGGCCTGGCCGCGTTCTCTCCCTCCACCGAGGGCGACGCTGCTGGCAGCGGCTCGGCTCAGAAACGACCGGCCGGATACCGAGAGACGGCTAGACTACGACCATGCACCGCGACGTATCTCTCTCTCTAGCGACGATTTAAAGAGCCGGCCGCGGGAACAGCTAGTTTCTCGGCTGAGCGATTCACCTGCGCCAAACTTCCGCTCCGTTTTCAAACTCGCAGTCGCAAACCGAACGCGAACGGGCAGGTGGAACGAGGCGCGAACCACCACCGGGCAAATACGTGGAAATAACGCGGCCGGAAAGTTTCACGGTCGGTCGTTCGGTGGAACGCGCGCGCGGGTTAGCTACCTGGAAGGCGCGCGCGCGGGTACCGTCGAAAACGAATTGCCTACTCGGGTACTATCCACCGAAATCAGACCTGAAAACGACCCCGGGGATCGTAAAGGTCAGTTAAAGCTCGAATAATCGAGCTCGAGCTCCAGTGACTCTCGCTAAAATTACGTAGCGCGTGTAACGTGGTATTTAGAGGAGGCCGATCGTCCGACAGTTCTCCGAGTCGCGTATAGAAAGTAATCGGTGACGCGGCTGCGTCGTAGGCGAGCGCGTGTCGAATCGGAAAGCAGGCCGACCCGCGATCGTGTCTCCCGGTGTTATCGATACACCGCAGAAAACTAGTATTCCGCTGGAATACTCTACTCTACTCGTGGTACGGGTTGTTTGGCGAATTATTGGCGAAGCTGCGGGGGCAGTGCGTACCGGCGAGTCGAGTAAAGCCGGTCTATAAATAATCGAGCGGTGTATTTCCAGGCCCCCTTTTACGCAACGTATCAACGATAAGGATAAGCACGAACGTTGCCTTCTCGGTGAACCTCGTCGCCAAACGCGCTGCATTCGTACACACTTTCTGCGCCACGCTTATCGTCCTCCTAACATTTGCCGAACCTTCTACCCGCGTATTTACGCGCGTAAGCATGTAGATTCCCCGATCGAAAGAAAAGTAGCCAGCGACGATAAAAATAGCACCGTTCAGTTTCGTGTAAGCGCAAGGTCAGAGATGGCGATTCGAAAAATCTTCTCCGTGATGAGCGATCAGGCCCGAGGACGGACGACTCGTCCGTTGCGCAATCGCATTATCTCACGGTGAACGAATCGAAACGTGAAAACAAGAGCGACCGGTTATCGATGCCGGCGAGTATTTTTGCCGAAAAAGAACAAGTCGCGATATCGCTAGCGAGCGAGCGAACGAACGAAGCGGAGGACGCGATTCATTGTCGAATAGGTATCAACTCGGCAGCAAGGCGGACGAGACGTAACTTACGTTGTGAAAAAACGTGTCCGCTGGCTTGGGTACGTCATTATCACCTGTAAACAAAGAAAAATATACGGTTAGGGTACAACGAACTCTCGTCCCTTTTTTCTTTCTCTTTTTCCAGCATTCCATCCTCGAGGATAGATCGCACGCGAGCGCGATATTTAATTAACGGCGACTCCGAAATTCGACCGAGCCAGCCGAGAGGATAAACTTATCGCTGGTATTTACGTGATTCGGGCGTAAATACATGGCTGTTTCTCTCGATCAAAATAAATCCACCGCTTGACAGTCCCTGTAATTCCGTTTACAAACAGACGAAACAGGCAAGTGTACGTACGTGTACCGGTTTAAATCGTAGTCGCGCGATTCCCATCTATCACACACTCATACCCGAGAAAGAGATACGGGAGACTCACCTAGAAGCATTTGTTCCAATTTACGGCGATCGACGCGAAACCTCTCTTGGTAGAGATCGTCCGGATTCACTATGCCCAGCACGGCCGCGATTTCGAACAACTCGTCGCGACTCTCGCAGCCAGATTTACCGGAAACGCTGGTCGCCACGGTGCCCTCCGACGTCTCGGACATCGTCTCCGTCGCCCTTCTCTCGTTCTGTATCACCTCGTCGGGTCTCATCTTGTCCGAATCCTGCTACTCTCTCCTCACCAACGGTCTTCTTCCCTGCGAACGAGAGAAAAGAACCCTTTCTTTAGGCGATTTGGTAGCGTGTCAAGGACAGAAAGGGCACGGGGAACGTAGAGGCGCATCTACGCTGTAGGCCTTTAGGTAAACGGTTGGATAATCGATCTCCCCTAATTCCCGTTAACCCCCTCAAGAACCTTGTGAAACGGGTCGTCTTCGTTTTCCGTGTTCCGGGTTACGCGACCATCCAGGCCCGACGACTGTGGACGGTTGTAACGAACGTGCAAACAGCTAAAGGGATGCCCGGTGAGCGTAGCGCCGCGACCGATTTCTCGGAACTCGGGCCGGATTTCGTGGAAGAGGCTCGACGAACCGACCAATCGGAACGGTGCTAGCCCGCGCGGTTTTTCGAACATCCCAGACCGCTTCTGTCCTTTACCTTCCCCTTGTCGGCGCCGCTCTCCTCTCGCTCCAACACCTTTGCCAGCGAGAACGCGAGCAAAAAATTGTTTTCGCCAACAACCGAGAGCACGCGTACGTGACTCATACCGTGTCGCGAATGCCCCCTCGCCGAAAACAATGCATCCCAATTTCACCGTCGCTCTTTTCCTCCACGATTACGATTTACGAACCCCGATCAGCCTCGATCTCGATCTCGATCGCTTTCCTCACCTAACCTACTTCCGGCCCCCCCCCCCCGCCGCCGCCAATTAACACCGACTCCTAACGATCAACGCCGATTCCATCCTCTCCCCCCTCGTTAACCAAACGCTTACCTCCGTGCTATTCGCCATCGATCAGTCGCCCCTGTATCCTTCGTGTATCAGTCACCACCTACGCGCCACCCTGCCCACGTATTGCTCTTGCCTTCTTTATTTCATTTATCTCTACGATTAGTGGCGCATTCGCAATCCGTTCCTTTCCTACGGCGCAGATTCCTATCCTTTTCCAAGCATTCTTCAAGAGTAAAAAGTCGGGCGCAACTTTTTTCCTCCTTCGATACTTTCGATCGACGACCCGCCGTCTTCCATTTTAAATCTCCCTCGAACTTGAAACGGTCTCGCTCGTTGCGCTACTATCCGCCAGATGTCGGTAGTACGCCTGTTGAAAAGTAACTCTCGATCGTACAAGATGGCGGGTCTGTGCCTATTTTGTTTTTGCTTCGGCTAGTGATTCGATGTATTCCTACAGATAACGAACAATTTGAAAATTTCCGTCTGTAAAACGTGGTGAATCTTTGCGGTAAAAAACGATGAAAAATCTACGCGTCGATAAATGAACGCGTGCGTTGCACCGAGTGAGAGCTACAGTTGTATACCGAATACACCTAGTAGCAACGTGAACGCGCGATACGTCTTCCCAAGGATTTCCGATTAATTTTGCCGGCCAAATTAACGAAAGATGCTTCAGACGCTTCGTGAACGTTCGCAGAAACGCAAGAAATTGCTCGCCCAGACGGTGAGGACAATTCTCGATCGTACGAAAGTTCTTCCCTCGAGGTTAGGTTTCTGCGTAGTAGTTTAGGAGAGGTGAAAAGTCGTATTTTCTCCACGCAGCTAGGTGTTTCGAGCGTAGACGAGTTGCGGCAGATTCTCGGGACGGATATCGACGATGCGCAAAAGAAAAAGATGAAATCTGTAGGGGAAAGGTCCGAGAACGGAGTGAAAGACTCGAAAAGTGAAACAGCTCTGACCGACGAGATCGTTTACAAAGATTCCTCGACGTTCCTAAAGGTATGTAGATTCCTGTTGCTCGGCGGTTCGTTTCCATGCTAAACGCGTATGTCGATGGTTTCCAAAGGGGACGCAATCGTCGAATCCGCACAACGATTACTGCCAGCATTTCATCGACACGGGTCAGCGACCGCAGAATTTTATCAGGGACGTAGGCCTGGCGGACAGGTTCGAGGAGTACCCGAAATTACGGGAGCTGATCAAGCTGAAGGACGATTTAATCGCGGAAACTGCAACGCCTCCCATGTATTTGAAAACAAACTTGCTCGCGTACAATTTGAAAGAGCTGAACTGCAAGTTCGACGTGATCCTGATCGAACCCCCGTTGGAGGAGTATCAACGCACCTGCGGTGCGACAAACGTCCAACTTTGGAATTGGGATCAGGTGAGTAGGGATTAAAGGAGGGGGAGAGAGATGGAAAGAGAGCGCGCGGCCTATTCGTATTAAAAACAACTTCGTAGATAATGGAATTAGATATCGGCGAAGTGGCGGCCAATCGAAGCTTCGTATTTCTCTGGTGCGGTAGTAGCGACGGATTAGATATGGGACGTTTTTGTCTTCGCAAATGGGGTTTCAGACGATGCGAAGACATATGCTGGATTCGCACCAACATCAATAATCCGGGCCACAGTAAAAATCTAGACAGCAAAGCTGTCCTCCAGAGAACGAAAGAGCATTGCCTGATGGGCATCAAGGGGACCGTTAGACGGTCCACGGACGGAGACTTCATTCACGCGAACGTCGATATCGATTTGATCATATCGGAGGAGCCCGAGTACGGTTCGATCGAGAAGCCTGTCGAGATCTTCCACATAATCGAGCACTTCTGCTTAGGCAGGCGAAGGTGAGAGAACACGGACAGCCAGACGATCGCTCGCTCTGGTCTCGGAAACGAAGCCCGGTACCGCTCATCCTTCCCCGTTCTGTTCTCAGGCTGCACTTATTCGGTCGGGACAGCACCATTCGACCAGGATGGCTCACCGTCGGTCCAGAGTTGACCAACACCAATTTCAACGCCGACCTCTACACCAGCTATTTCGCCAACGGTCAGATTACCACCGGCTGCACCGAACGAATCGAAGCGCTCAGGCCAAAGTCTCCGCCACCGAAGGGGAAAGTGACCGGTCGAGGCAGAGGCGGTTTCAATCGAGGACGAGGTAGAGGAAGGTAAAACGCTTCTCGATCGTACGAAAGTTCTTCCCTCGAGGTTAGGTTTCTGCGTAGTAGTTTAGGAGAGGTGAAAAGTCGTATTTTCTCCACGCAGCTAGGTGTTTCGAGCGTAGACGAGTTGCGGCAGATTCTCGGGACGGATATCGACGATGCGCAAAAGAAAAAGATGAAATCTGTAGGGGAAAGGTCCGAGAACGGAGTGAAAGACTCGAAAAGTGAAACAGCTCTGACCGACGAGATCGTTTACAAAGATTCCTCGACGTTCCTAAAGGTATGTAGATTCCTGTTGCTCGGCGGTTCGTTTCCATGCTAAACGCGTATGTCGATGGTTTCCAAAGGGGACGCAATCGTCGAATCCGCACAACGATTACTGCCAGCATTTCATCGACACGGGTCAGCGACCGCAGAATTTTATCAGGGACGTAGGCCTGGCGGACAGGTTCGAGGAGTACCCGAAATTACGGGAGCTGATCAAGCTGAAGGACGATTTAATCGCGGAAACTGCAACGCCTCCCATGTATTTGAAAACAAACTTGCTCGCGTACAATTTGAAAGAGCTGAACTGCAAGTTCGACGTGATCCTGATCGAACCCCCGTTGGAGGAGTATCAACGCACCTGCGGTGCGACAAACGTCCAACTTTGGAATTGGGATCAGGTGAGTAGGGATTAAAGGAGGGGGAGAGAGATGGAAAGAGAGCGCGCGGCCTATTCGTATTAAAAACAACTTCGTAGATAATGGAATTAGATATCGGCGAAGTGGCGGCCAATCGAAGCTTCGTATTTCTCTGGTGCGGTAGTAGCGACGGATTAGATATGGGACGTTTTTGTCTTCGCAAATGGGGTTTCAGACGATGCGAAGACATATGCTGGATTCGCACCAACATCAATAATCCGGGCCACAGTAAAAATCTAGACAGCAAAGCTGTCCTCCAGAGAACGAAAGAGCATTGCCTGATGGGCATCAAGGGGACCGTTAGACGGTCCACGGACGGAGACTTCATTCACGCGAACGTCGATATCGATTTGATCATATCGGAGGAGCCCGAGTACGGTTCGATCGAGAAGCCTGTCGAGATCTTCCACATAATCGAGCACTTCTGCTTAGGCAGGCGAAGGTGAGAGAACACGGACAGCCAGACGATCGCTCGCTCTGGTCTCGGAAACGAAGCCCGGTACCGCTCATCCTTCCCCGTTCTGTTCTCAGGCTGCACTTATTCGGTCGGGACAGCACCATTCGACCAGGATGGCTCACCGTCGGTCCAGAGTTGACCAACACCAATTTCAACGCCGACCTCTACACCAGCTATTTCGCCAACGGTCAGATTACCACCGGCTGCACCGAACGAATCGAAGCGCTCAGGCCAAAGTCTCCGCCACCGAAGGGGAAAGTGACCGGTCGAGGCAGAGGCGGTTTCAATCGAGGACGAGGTAGAGGAAGGTAAAACGCTGCTGCGCCTCGATACAACACGACGCCCTCTTTCCTCCGATACCGTTTCCACGACACACACACAAACAAACAAACAAACAAACAAACAAACACACTCGCACTCGCACAGAGAGTGGTGTACCAAACCGATAAAAAAATATTATTTCTCTCCCCGCAATTCTCCATCATACGGAGAGAACTTGTTTCTACCTTTGTATTGTACGATATTTTGCTTTACATATTGTAATATAGTTGCTTTCGAAAGTACCGCGCTACCCAATATTCCAATGATCTTCAACTTTGTGTAACGCAACGTTCACGCGCGCGCGCGCGCGCCACTGCTACGGGAAAAATACCTGAGCCACGTGAACAACAACAGACGGTGTGTACACTGTTACCGTGTGCGTTCGCATCGCGTCTGGAATATTTTGTAACGCGAATCAACGTACAGAAATAAAATTCAGTCGAATCGAAGATGATCGAGAATATGGATGCAATTTTCACACGTCCATTTCGCGGCGAAGCCGGTCCGTACCGGCGTTGAAGAGAGAGATAGGGAGAACGGCGCGCATCTTGCCGTTACAACGTTCTTAACATTTTCGACTAATCGTTTAACAACAATCGTATAAAACATCTTAAGTATACGCATTCTTAAAAAACGAGAACGTAATTATTTCGAAACGTTTGAGATCCGGTCGTGTTACTTTGTACTTTGTGTGTTGCGAACGTTAAATTCCTATAAATAGATCTTACGATAATTAACTACATTTACAACTTCTATCCGACGATACTATCCGCGGGAACTTACGAACAAATTTCTTGGCCCCAGTAAAGCTTCCGGTAGTATAAAAAATACGAGTATGTTCGACGAATGATTCGCTCTCGTTCCTCCAACTATTCCCCCGCGAGGCATTCGTTGAACGATAATAACGTATATCTGTGGTACTCGTCGCTGAATCCAAGTATAAAACTAAGCTAACTATGCTAATGTAGTATAAAAAGAATGTTCGAGAGACCGCGTACACGGCAATCGCGTCGTTAATCGCTCTAAAAATGAAGCAAGCTTAACGTGAACGTTCGTCGATGCGAATAAAAGAATATCGGTATAAAAATCAGGAAAATATCCTATCGAAAAGAATAAAACCGGTCAGCGATATGTGCATACGCACGCACACATCGATCGTCGAAAACGTAAATCGTTAAAAGTCGCGTCCCTTCCCGCGCTTCCTTTTTCTAAGTTCTTCTTCTCTTTTTTTCTTCCTTTTCAAATACCGTGCAAACGAGGAGAAAGAACTTACGAACGATTTGAAAAGAGGAAGGAGGAAGAGAAAGAAACGGAGAAAGCGTTAAATTCTACCCAGCAGTTAAGAAGAATACGGATATGCGTGCGTAGCTGTGTGGCCTCGATCGATCGAACGACGAGTTGCAGTCGGATGGACAGTTTCTGAGAGATCGGCCTACGTTGGAGATCAGTCTATAGTTCGAAAGTCACAAATACGTCGACTCCCCTGTAAGCAGAGTCAGCGTAAATAATGAGGGTGTGTGATTCGCGTACGATACCGACTATCGCCAATCTACGATATACATACTGATATCTTTACGTAAATCCAACAGATGCGTACCTGTAATAATGAATTTAAACTGCTGCGACTGCGATTGGCTACGATGTCGGTTTTCTTCGTTTCCTACTGTACTCATGGGGGTTCCTAGCGTGTTTCATAGGAACAAACAAAAATCATCGTTAAAACAACAGGCACCTACGTCGTCCTGCAAAATAGCGAAAAGGAAGAACAAAAGAAGATATAAGTAGGTGAAGAAGCGAAGAAACAAAGAGAATAATAGAATATAAATAAGATATTTACTTGCGTCCTCCGATGCTCGCCAACTTTTCGAAGGGAAGAGGAACGGAAAGAAAAACGAGAAGAAAGAGTTTCGG